CAGCAAAATGAAGAAAATTTTATCAATCGGAAAAAGTTTATCAAATTTAATTTTCATTATTAAATATATTTTGATTGAAAGAAAGAAAAACGATTCCAAAATTCCATCTATCCTTTTAAGGTAATTTTGAAAGGAAACCCTAAGAATACCAATGATTGCCTATCCTCAGCTATTCTTCTCCCGTTTTCTACCATACAACAACTGGTCGTAAATTCGCTTCTCATTATAACAGAGCTCATTCCAATTACAAGCCGAAGCTATTGGAACTGCCTATTTCAACTTTCGTCTTGTAATTTTGAGGAATAAATTTAATTGTTAAAATATATCTCTTATCATTAGCCATCGAGTACAGCTTCTTATCAATAATTACTTCCCTAAGTTAATTAACAAATAATAATTATAGCTTATGATAGTTAATAGTTAATAATTAACAAAAACATTGACAAAATATCATTAATATTATCTTTTCCATTGTGAGAGAGTTTTTTTCCTTGTTTACAGTTAAAATTATTTTAAACTCTAAAATCTTTCTTTCATTAAAAATTTAATATAAATTTTCGTTTTCAAATATTAATAAAATTTAGGTGCAAACTGTTAAATATCAATAAAATTAGAAAGAGAAAGAAATATAAAGATGTTTTTATAGTTTTTATTTGCATAGCAATTTTGGGTTTATTTACAAAGTAAGAAAAAATACTGCAAAGTGGAAATTTCAACAGCGATTTTTTAAGTGTTTCAAAAAGTTAATATTTTCCAAGTTACCTTTCATTATTTGTTTAGCATTAAAGACAAAGGAAAAAAATACTGTGTAAATTATCGGAAATTTGTTTTTATATTTGTCATAAAAATTGATAGCTAAACTGATCGATTTTAATTTTAATAGATAAATTGATCGATTTCAATTTTAGTAGCTAAATTGATCGATTTCAACTTTACCCTAATTATGTAGATAGATGTGTATATAATAATGAACTCAGAATAACAAAAATACGAAATCATTAATTATGTAATTGATATATATGTTGCGACAAAATCTTGATAGTATTTTTGATCTAAATACTAGATTCTATTTCTGATCTAAATATTACATTTGATTTCTGATCTAAAGTACCACATTTCTGATTTTATCTATATAAATTTCATTCTTTATTATCATTATCTTACATAGTTAATTACAGAAAATCAAAAATTTCCTTTTCATTTGTTGATGCTATGTAATCAACCGTCTGGGAATACTGGAATACCCTTGAAATTAACCTTTAATATTATTTTTACTTATTGAACAACATCTCGCATATGCTCTTTTTAATCATAGTTGTTAAGCTGCAGGGATTTTGATTGTTGTAACTGTTATGGGTGGTAATAATTGGTGGTAATTTATGCATGTCTAATAGTAGTTTGTTGTATAATGTTCTCTATTAATTAATGAGTCGCAAATTTTAAACCTTCTAAAAGAGCTCAATACTAGAAGAGTTCAAATAAAAAAACTTTCCAGAATTTCACTTTTTTAACCCATTTTAATAAGTTTCTCATTTTCTTCTCTGAATGGATTTACACATTTCTCGATTGTACTTCTTCACCGATCTCTTTTCAGGTATCATATTTTAATTGAATGTCACACTAATTAACAGAAAAAGTTGCAACATTATGGATGAGAAATTGATTTATTTGAGCATCTCTTCCATAGTAAACATTGTAAAAAAAATGATAAGAAATGTTACAAAACACAGAAATGAAGAATAATGAAGTAAAAATACTACAAAACAAAGTGTGATCATCACGAATACCAATAATAATTTCGTGTACAGACACATACGCGTACATACACACACACACACACACACACACACACACACACATATAAATATGGTATAGTAATTTAACAGCAATTAAAATTAAATGAAGGGCAAAATTTAACCCCTCACTTTAATCCCCTTAGAATGACCATAGAGTTATGCCATCACAGAAAAACTTTTAATTCTGAAAATTAATTACACATCAAAAGTATCGCGTAACGCATAACTTTATGAAGCAATTCATATACAAAATGAATTTCTCAAAATGCATAGAGTTTAACTACATATTACTTAACTTTTATGAAGTCATTACTGAATGTTTTTTAGTTTATCATTTCCTCCACTCCTCGAATTTATGCTTGAGCGACAAGAAATAAGATGACTGTTTCTTTGTCGAAATTTCCTTCTCTCCCATTTGGTTAGCATTAAATTCTATGTCTGACTAACTCAAAAGACTTTTGATATTATAGCAAGTGTCAGTTTCTTGGCCCACATCAAAAAAGACCCATAACAAATACTCTTCATATTTAGAAATGTCGAAAAGAAAGAGAAACAAATTTCACGAACCACCAAAGCGAAAAAATCTTCCTGCTACAGTTGAAATAATAGATACCAAAAAAAAAGATATTGCAATTTTCCAATAAATAAAAACAGCCGAAAAATTTAATCGTATGGAATTTTTTCCTATATTTTTAAGCCAATATCTGAAATTTCACACAACTAGTGAATCATCACTTTCATATTCATCTCCTTGCATAATTCCTACCGTCGCTGTTGTTTTAATTGGTGGCGGTGGTAATGTTGGTGATACTATTATCGGCGATCGAAATTTCATATTACCACTGTTTGTCCTTCCATTATTATTTTTATGATCCTTGGCCTTGTTAATATGATTAGAAATGCCTTCTTGTGTAGCAGCAACAACAGTAGTAGCACCAGTAGCTTCCAGTAAAGGTGCCAACGATGGGCGACGTTTACGAAAACTGGGACAACCCTGGAAATAACACGCGTGATGTTTAAATTTCATCTAATATCAATTACAAAATGAATTATTGGTTAAACTGAAATTTGAGATAAAAAGATAATATAACATTGACTTAAAATGGATAAAAAGCGGTAAAAAAACGAATTTGTTAAAATAGGACCAAATTTTGTAGTATTCAGAGAAGCAATAGAATAACTAAAACTGAAATTCGTCTAGGAATATGGAGTAGCAAATGAACAACAATAAATTACATTTCACTGTCAACAGAAAATTATGTTAATATTCTAAAAAATAATAGGTAAAATCGAAATATTTTAGGTGAAGCAGGAACTGTTGAATGATTAGAGGAAGCTGACAGAGTATGATCAGTAATTCTATATATCATATCATAATTTGTACTTTCACGTATTTCGGAATACCTTCCAAATTTTGAAATTAAAATAAAAATTAGATACTTGTCCATCAAAATCGAAGAAATGGCGAAATGTAAATTCGTAGAATGCCGGATTGAACGCTGCCGAAGCACGTTTTGCCACTGTATCGAACGACTGATCAGAGGAATCAAATTCAAATGTGTCGAAATTTGATGTATCTTCAGCATGTTCAACACGTGGTATGTATTCGCCACGTGTGGAGCGTAACGTTGAAAAATCGATACCCTGCGAAATCAAATTTGCAGTCTGTTGATCTAACAATCTCTTAAAAACTTTTCATGAATAAAATCGAAAAAAGCAAGGAAGCCTTTAAAGAAATCCATTTGAAGTTGAAATTATTTTCTAACGAACCTTAAACCATGGATGAATTTTAAGATCCTCCGCACCATTTTTACAACCAAGTCTATCTTCCTGTTCACAACATAATTTCCGGATTACATCGATACATTCTAGCGATAATTTTTCCCCAATACGATTATTTAAATCCAAATATTGCCGCCATTTCACAATCTGTAATTTCAGCATCACGATAATTATTGTCACCCTCAATGAGACAAATGAAAGCAAGAGGAATGCCAAGTGCTAAAAAATAAAGCATAAAAATAAAATTTCTCCTCTTCGATAATGCATGAAATGAAATGAAAATAGCGGAAAATACGTATCTTATACTGTGTCTCATAACGATCTCCCGAAAGAAACGGTGGTCTACCGAAAACCATTTCATATAAAATAACTCCTACGGACCACCAATCACAAAGCTGAGTATGACCTACAACAGAAATGTAAAGATTAGAAACAAAAAATTATTGTACTTTTGAAAGAATTCATACTGCACCGTTAGTATTGCAAAGTAAGAATTTTTGAAAATCTTTTCCAATTTATTAAGGAACTTACCGGTGCCTCGAATTACTTCTGGTGCCATGTAGTTGTCAGTTCCTACTAATGAATGCGATTGATTCCGTTTACAATGATTTCTGATTTCCAGTACTTTTGGTCGACCTATTCCTGACAGATCCGGATGTGAAGCCAAATATCCCTTCCGTGCTTCCGCATTCTCTACCTGCAAAAAGTGTAAATAATCCATTTTGCATTAGATATACAAAAAGCCTAGAATATTCACCGGAGGAAACAAATATGAGTTAAAAACGTTCCACAAAAATTTTGGAAAATTGAATACGAAAAAGTTCATAATCAATATATTGTCGATTAGAACATGGAATGTAAAACGGAGTATCAGGGGTTCATGTTTACATCACTGAACACTTAGTGAGACTTAAATAGAATGATATAAAGATGGAACGCGATTAAACGGAGTAATTTTCGACAAGTATCGTGAATCACTTTCAGAGTGCTCATTATTGACTTATCTAGCATTAATTAGCTCCTATAGATCACGTTAGAAAAGCTGCAAGTAAAAACTGGAATATCCTGGTAGTTCTTGCTCTTGAATAATTTCTGTTCACAGCGATAGCCTCAAATATAAACGATAATTTTGAAAAATAAACTGTATAGGTAAAAATAAAAAGAACCTCATCATTATCAGGTCCATAATACCGTTTATCATGCGTCCAACGTAAACCCGTACATAAACCAAAATCGGTCAACTTAATATGACCATTTTGATCAATCAATATATTATCCGGCTTAATGTCACGGTGAATGAAACCAAGACCGTGAACATATTCAATGGCACACGTTAGTTCAGCGATGTAAAACCTGAAATTCTTAAAATTACTCTTGAAAAAATATTTTAAGAATTCAAAACTTTTATACTTTTAAAAATGAAAAGTAAGCTACTTCAAATATCATAAATGCATTTACTATTAGAATTACAGTTAATGTCGAATAAAGCTAACTTTACCTAGCGAGCTTTTCGTCAAACAACCCTTTGTTAATAAGAAGTTGCATCATGTCACCACCCGGAACATATTCCATGATAAGATATAAAGATTGTTCATCCTGAAAATAAATGACCATTTCGCGTTCGTCATTTTTTACAAAATTTGACTTAAAGGCCTTATATCAACTGGTAAATAATATCGAACCTAAACTTGGCAAGTACTGCAAGAGCAACAAATAAGCCATAACTATTTCATAAAATTAGGCCCTTTGAGAAACATGAAATGTTAAAAAACATGAAATGGATAAATTCTGAGTTCAACCGAAGTATCGATCAGGCCAAACACATAATTTCATTTCAATGACATCAAAGCTTTGATATATTCATTCACATGAAATGTACAATAAACGACACCTGAAATGAATAGTAAAGCTTGACGATCCAATTGCTATCAGCTTCCGCAAGAATATCACGTTCAGCTTTTACGTGTGCTGCTTGTTGTTTCATGATCACATCCTTCTTCAATAATTTTTTCATCGCATATACTTGGCCAGTATCTTTCTAAAAATGAAAATTATGAAATAAAATCAATAATATCGCCCTAAAAGATTTGCATTTAGCACAGATAACTTCATTGAAAGAAGTCTAGAACATTTCAAAATTGCAAAAATTTACAAAAAGATTGAAAATAAATTTATAACCTTTTTAACTAACGATACACGACCAAATGCACCGAAACCAATATGTTTCACTACTTCAAACATATCTTTGTTCATTTTTTGCCGCTTCAATCGTAAATAGCGCGATTCTTTTTGCGTTAGAAATATCATCATATGTTCACGCATACTTTCTGGCAAATCTGCACATTCCATTTCTTTAGCAAGCTAAAAAAAGACAAAATTAATTTTCATCCAAGCACATCTTTGTATAATGTAATAGCAAAAAAAAATTAAAATATCTTGTTGCCATTAGCATAAAGTTAATAAGAATTATCTCATTGTTACTGATAGTGTTAAATTAAGTGAGAACATAAAGATTAAGAAAAAAATATCACCTGAAAGATACATGATTATGGAGTAATGCAGAAATGCGTTTTACGTCAACATTGCTGTATTATGATGTAGAATCCAAAATTATTTATGTATTCTAATTTAATTTATTTCAAATGATTTCCCATTCTAATATCATCGTTGTATACATTTAATTAAATTTAGTATATTTAAGATTAAGAGAATTATAACCTGTCGTGCACGTTGTTGCCGTTCTTTATATTGCTGTATTAAGCGTTCCACATGTTGCTCCATATAAAAGCAAAATAAACGTGGCTTACATGGTTTGATAGCTGATTCGTACGTGTTCGTACGTAATTTACGCAAAATACTTCCTGGTAAAGGCGATATGCAACGTGTTACTTCTTCCACTTCACCACTTCTGTAATAAAAATAAATAGGTGAAAGAAAATAACACTATATGAAATTTGTAAATTTTGCAATTTTAATTTAGAAAAATATAACTTTCAAAATTTTTGATTAACCATAATGACTGGAACACACGATATGCACCAATTGCAAATTCATGAGTTCTAGATTTTAAGTACTTCAGGATATCATAATATATGACCACCGGTTATGCATCAAATTTAGCCTTGCAAACTGAGCTAAATTTATTGCCTAACCATCAAGTACCACATTCAAAATCAAAAATCTTGAAAATTTCAAAACTCTGATATCCTGAAATATTTAAGATCTAGAAGTCAGATGCATCGAATTTTGCAGTTGTATTCCTTCTGTTATTCAGCTATGAGCTACAGAATTAAATGGAACAAATTCTGGAAATGATTTCGAAACGATGGATGGATAGTAGAGGTAATGATGCAAGTAGAAGTGTAAAGCAGTGTAAAATTTGGGAATACAAAGAAGCGGTTTTAATAAGAATCTTCATTACTGTGTTATTGCTATCCAATTATTATTATGTGTATGCAGCAAATTCAATACTAATATTTTAGATGGAACTTTTAAGAAATCTTATATCACGAATCATTATCATCAACAATCATTAGATGAATGTTCCCTAATCACTAAGAAATATCATAGGATATTTAGGATATGATAATTTCAAGTTTTAAGCTAGTAGCTAAAGTAAGATTGAGATATTAATAAAATATTTCACGGCTCACTATTCTTCCGTCCCACTTACGACCGACATAAAATTATATTTTTACTAAAAAGATCTCAAATTAGCCAAGTATATGAAAGTTCAAAATTTAAAGTTCAATCATCAAATCTTTGTCTATGCTCTAATATATTATATTGTTTAAGGTAATTTCGAAAAAAAAGTGATGCAAATTTATATCTTTACACTTTAATAAAACAAATCGAAAGTATTAAATTATCATTCATATTTGCCAAATTTGTTTGTTTACTGTTTATCTATAATAAAATGTTCATTGTGTACCTAATTTTCTTCCTTTCATATATTAAAAGATAAATTTTAGAATATTCATTTTTGAAATGGAGAATAGGAAATGGAAAAAGAAATGAAATTCGAGTAGGGTTGTTTAGTGAACGAAAAAAGTCAAGTACTTTTTAGACAGAAAGGATTCTGAACAATTCGATAGCGAACGGTTAGATCCTGAAGAAAGGCTTTCCATAATAACATTTTAATAACAATTATTACTTCTATTTGTTATTATGAAAATAGGAAACAATGAAATGATTATTCTAGAAATTAATGGATGATATAAGTAAAAAATAGTCGTATTATTATTGTACGATAATTATTGTTCCAAAAAAAAAAACAAAATTGACGATAAAAATTAACGATAAATTCGGATAAACTATTATTATTGGTAGATATCTTCAAACATCATCAAGCAAAATTTACGGTGCAAAGATGATAGTTCAGTTTCATTACTCGACTATACTTAATATATTTTGTTTCATTTATGTTAAGTTAAATGGAAGCTGAGAAAAAATCAAGCATGAAATCTACTTCATAGCCTATTAGAAATATTTGGTGTTAGCAATTCAAATGATATCACTTCATCCAAATGAAAACCATTAAATTCCAATTAAGAAACATTCAGAAAAATCGACATATTGCTATTTTAGTATTATGTTTTTATGAAGGATTAAGGTTAAACTGAGTATTTTTGTAGAATAGAAAAAAAAACGTACACTCTGGTGCAAATATTAGGTGAAATAGAACGTGGTACCGCAGCACCTGAAGTTCGATGATAACCATTGTTCAGGTCAGCATATGTATTTGATACAGCTGAGTCATGCTCATTAACTCCAAGGAGATTTGTTCGCCGACAACTCTGTAATCAGAAATGAAAAAGAAAAAAATGAAAATATTATTTTAGGCAAAAAGATAATATGCTATTCTATCAAGACTGCTACGTCTTACCAATCAATACTACGACTTTTTTATTTCACATTATTTTGTATAGTATAGAAATATTGCAGTAACAAAGCTAATATATATTAATAAACCACCTATGAAAACATATCGTAAATTTTTTTTTATTAAGATTCAACTCCGAAATAAATGAAAAAACGAGGCATTACCTGTTCAGTATATTTAGTGTAGGCTGTAGATGGTCTATCCGGATCTACTAATATTCGTTGTACTCCGTTTGTTGTCGGCTTGTTACCATGTGCTGTTGCTATTTCAACCGTTTCTTCATCCATCCCATTCATACCATATTTGTTATATCGAGTCGGCTCAGATTTCGAGAAAAAAAGGGACAAAATAAGTAAGCAATGCAAATTGTTGAATTATTCTAAATCCGCTTTTTTTGGACTTCAAATTATTAGAATTACTATCCATTACAGCAAAAGAAGCTATTTTTAAATCATTCATCTAACTAATTCAGTTATTGATGATAGTACTTGAATAAGACGATAAAAGTATAATATGCATTTAGTCCAAATGTTAAACTTGAACTGCAAATCTGCCTATCAGATAATTCTCCATTTTCTAACTTAAATTATTCAAAAAGTTGTAAGTTAAAAGGATCATTTCATAGTCATTTGCTTTATTTGAAAGTAAATTTGGTAACTTACCATCTTGTGTAACGATTCAGTATTCAGTGGATGTCCTGTATTAATCGATCTCTCTACTCGTGTTCTTATCACTGGTACTGCATCAGATCTTCGTAAAGCAGTAACATTATTCATGTGAGATCGAGAAGTTAGCGATCGGGTTGGTCTTAAAAAGAAAAAGACAATGTCAGGAAAAATATCTTCATTTATTACAGTTAATTTATATATTCTTATATAATAAATGTTATTTAGAAAATTTTTCAATAGAATTAAATTTAATACTTAAAGATGAAATAATAAAGAGAAATAGCTCCTTATAGTTGAAAATTATATTATATTTACTTGGATACGCGATCCGTGCATCCTTGCAATCCGTCGATATTGATAATTGCTGATGCTTGCTGCGTTGATGGTCGATCCACTTTTCGACTGCGAGTAATTCCGGATAACGGTGTACCGGATGTGAATGATGTGACGGCTGCTGTAGCTTGTGATGATGATGTCGTTAACCCATAATCATAATTATTTATCGCCGTTTTGGTTGCATTGTTATAGCAATACTTTGATGAATCACTGCAAGTGCATCAAAAACAAATTTGTAATTTGAAACCGAAAACAGATTTAAAAATTGAGAATAATCATTTATAAAGTGTTCTATACGTTTTATAATAAAAAGATTAAAAAATAAAGACAAAGTAAAGTAATAAATAAATTCAGTGAAATGACACATATTAAGGATGAAGATTATTAATTTTGAGGAGGTTAAAATCTTCTCCATAAATTATATTCAAATTTTAATACTATCAAAAATTATATATGTATTTTTCTTTAAAAAAGAAATGTTAGGGAGTAGACTAGTTATACACTAACACTATACTATAACCTTCCTTCATTTAATCAAAATACATTTAATACGATTTGATAAAATAAGTCTAATTTCGCTAAATGAAACGGAAATGAAATCAGAGCTAACATAGGTAAGTGAACGTGCATCTGATGATAATCGGTTGTTTGGTGATAAGGATTAGTGATAACTTGCAGCGATGGACTTGTCGAACGTACTCTGGAATCAATGATAAATTTTGGTGGATGAAATTCAACAAGTTAAATAACTTATCACTGAATTATTAACATATTTCAGATTATGCTCAGTAACTTAATTCACGAAATTAATCAACTATTGATACGATAAATGAAAAATTATTGTAGTGTGTATTTCAAAAATTTATAAATGATAATGGTCTAACATTCCCCATAAAAAAAATACATACTGAAAAGAAGTAGCTGATGCTGGTGGACTTGGTATCCTTGCTAAAGGACTATTTGATCGGCTTGATGAACTGTCGTCGATATTTGCTAGAATTGATGTTGTCGGTATTTGAGCATTTGTCATCAATCCAGAAACTGGTGCTGCTCCCATTACTTGACTGGTTATACCGGATGGTATCATTAATTTGGTACTATTTGAGATTACACCGTTATTATTACAGATATAAGGAGAAGATGAAGCGGTAGTTACAACTGATGACAATGATCCATGAAAAGTTCCTCCATAATCACGTAAATCCTAGAAATAAAAAGATAAATGAAACAGAAAAAGCTAAAATTTAACTTTTGAATTTATTTGTAAAGAAAACTAAAATTGAAAAAACAAAGAATCTTTTGCATTAAATTACCCAAACCTGCTTAATTTTCAATTCTAAAATTCTAATTTAAATAGAAATTTTAATATTAATGTTGCAATAAAACGAAAAAGAAACTTGTCGAAAGACATGTTCTTTGTTGAGATTTAACAAAACTTCAGCTGCTGCTGCAACACTTGAATAACGAACAAGTTCAAGTGCCAAAAGTGCTGCTTGCTGAAAAATTTATGATAAAAAAATTTCAATCAATTTTTTAATTTTATTAAAAGGTTTTAAAAAAAGAATTTATTTTTCAAATTTACAAATATGAAATTTCCCATTTAATTTAATAAAACAAGTAATTGAGAGATGAAAGAAATAAAATAAGAAACTTCTCAATTTTAGGTATCTAACGGTAATTATTAATTTTTCAAAGAAGTTTAAGAAAAAAGAAGCTTTAACATATTGGGATTTGTTTAATTCAGTCTTGAAGGTTTTATTTCAATCAATAAATTGAACTTATAAAGGAAGATATAGCAAAACTTTAGCATATTGGGAGTTGTTTAATTTAATCTTGAAGGTTTTATTTCAATCAATAAATTGAACTTATAGAGAAAGATATGACAAATTTTAAAAAAAAAGAAAGAAAGAAAAATTTATAACCTCTTCAAAGCCAATTTGAGTCAACGTATTGATCAAAATTTGTCGTCGTGTTTCATCTTCTACTGTAAAATTATTATTATTATTGGGTGATGATGATGATGATGATGCTCCTGCTGTTGCTGTTGCAATTGATGATTCGATATTACCGGTTTGTTCAAATGGACGTAACGAATCCCGAATTTGTTCTAATTTATCACGATGCCTACCAACACCAACACGTACATCCTGAATTGAAATTATTTAATCGATATTCAAAATATTTAAATAATGCATTCAATTTTTGATTAATTCAAGTATTTTGGAAGAAATATCTGAGTAAAAAAAGAAATTATTTATTTAAACATTCAAATATTCCTTCAATGATACCATTTAATTTAAACGCTTGAAATTTAACATATAATTATCTACAATTAGTTATGATATTCAATGTACTTCATCAGATCGGTTAAAATAATTATAATGATAGTAATAATAATAATCATAATTGAATAAAATTTTAAATTCAATACATACTGTGGTAGCATCTTTACGCATTCGTGGTGATGGTTCCGGTGTTCTCATCGATATTCCGATAACATTTCCAGAACTATTTGTAGCACCAGTTGTTGAAATTTGTGCCGGATTACTTGTACTTGCTAATGCAGGTCGATGTGGTGGAAACATCAAGTTTTATTGTTGATTTCTTTGATAATTATTGCAATTTTTTTCGTTGCTTTTCAATGATTTATGAATGAAAAGATAAAAGACTTCAAAATTTCAAAAATTAAATTCCGAAAACGAAACGATTTGTTATATCATCGTTGAATTGAATGGTGTCTTTGCTTCTTTCTTCTTTTACAGCATCAATAATTTGTTGGATGAAAAAGCGGAAATATATACACAACCGATCTGATATAATTCATCAAACGATATGATACGTGACCAGAAAAAAAAAAGACCTGAAATTACTGAATTTACTGATAAAATGTTTTTATGAGCAAAAAAAAACAAAACAAAAAACGATCATGGTTACATTATGCAAATGAATAATCCATCAAAAGTTATAATTAAAGATCGGAATTATTAATTGATTGACTTTTAATAGGAATTATTAAGTAATAATTAAAGATCGGAATTATTAATTGATTGACTTTTAATAGGAATTATTAAGTAATAATTAAAGATCGGAATTATTAATTGATTGACTTTTAATAGGAATTATTAAGTAATAATTAAAGATCGGAATTATTAATTGATTGACTTTTAATAGGAATTATTAAGTAATAATTAAAGATCGGAATTATTAATTGATTGACTTTTAATAGGAATTATTAAGTAATAATTAAAGATCGGAATTATTAATTGATTGACTTTTAATAGGAATTGTTAAGTAATAATTAAAGATCGGAATTGTAGATTAATTAATTTTTTTAAAAGAAATAAAACAAACAATATTGGCCATTGTTCAATTATTAAATATAATTGATGATTAAAAATTTCTTAATCCTTTTTTATTAAAATAATTAATTTTTCATCAAACAATTTGTAAATAAATATATTCTATTTAAATATGAAAGCATAAATTTACAAACAAAAATTTCTTAATTAATCCTTTTTTATTAAAATA